TTGCAAGGGTGTATGATAAACCCACCAGGGTCATAGTGTTGCAGTGGGGTGATAAACCCACCAGGGTCATAGTGTTGCAGTGGGGTGATAAACCCACCAGGGTCATAGTGTTGCAGTGGGGTGATAAACCCACCAGGGTCATAATGTTGCAAGGGTGGATGATAAACCCACCAGGGTCATAGTGTTGCAAGGGTGGATGATAAACCCACCAGTGTCAGTGTTGCAGGGGGTGATAAACCTACCAACATCAGCGTTGTTAGGTAAGACACATATGCAACAGTTAGGTAACTTTATTATGAAACGTTTCGCCTACACAGTAGGCTTCTTCAGTCAAGTACAGAAAAGTTGATAGAAGCAGAAGATACTTGAAGACGATGTAATCAGTCCATCACCCTTAAAGTTTTGAGGTGGTCAGTCCCTCAGTCTGGAGAAGAGCATTGTTCCATAGTATGAAACAACATGGAGAAGAAGTGACAGGATGGAGCTTTTATAGCGCCAAGAGGTGAGACGTAGGCCACTAGGAGAGGTAAGAACTCAAATGTTGAGAGGTCAGGTCCCTCTCAAATCCAGCCGCTCTCACTAGTGGAAGTTGTCGAAGTTGATTGTAGGTCTGTACCAAGATACCCTTGTGTTGCAGTGTCTGACAGATTGAACATTAAAATGGTATAAAATACCGACAGGTTGTTAGGTAAGACACATATGCAACAGTTAGGTATCTTTATTATGAAACGTTTCGCCTACACAGTAGGCTTCTTCAGAAGTTGGATAAATTTAGATTTAGAAAGGACATAGGTAAGTACTGGTTTTCTAACAGAGTTGTAGATGCGTGGAACAGTCTTCCCAGTGGGGTGATAGAGGTTAGGACCTTGGGTAGCTTCAGAAGCACAGTAGGCTTCTGAAGAAGCCTACTGTGTAGGCGAAACGTTTCATAAAGATACCTAACTGTTGCATATGTGTCTTACCTAACAACCTGTCGGTATTTTATACCATTTTAATGTTCAATCTGTCAGACACTGCAACACAAGGGTATCTTGGTACAGACCTACAATCAACTTCGACAACTTCCACTACCTAACAACCTGTCGGTATTTTATACCATTTTAATGTTCAACATCAGTGTTGCAGGGTAGTGATAAACCCACAAGGGTCAGTGTTGGAGGGGGTGATAAAACCATTGTCAGTGGTGCAGGAGTGTGATAAACCCACCAGGGTCAGTGTTGCAGGGTAGTAATAAACCCACCAGGGTCAGTGTTGCAGGGGGTTTGATAAACCCACCATGGTCGGTGTTGCATGGTGTGATAAACCCCCAGGGTCAGTGCTGCAAGGGGTGATAAACCCACCAGGGTCATAGTGTTGCAGTGGGGTGATAAACCCACCAGGGTCATAGTGTTGCAGGGGTGATAAACCCACCAGTGTCATAGTGTTGCAGTGGGGTGATAAACCCACCAGGGTCAGTGTTGCAGTGGGGTGATAAACCCACCAGTGTCAGTGTTGCAGTGGGGTGATAAACCCACCAGGGTCATAGTGTTGCAGTGGGATCATAAACCCACCAGGGTCATAGTGTTGCAGGGGTGATAAACCCACCAGGGTCATAGTGTTGCAGGGGTGATAAACCCACCAGTGTCATAGTGTTGCAATGGGGTAATAAACCCACAGGCTAGGTGAGGGTCCCGGCAGTGTTGCAGTGGGGTGATAAACCCACCAGTGTCATAGTGTTGCAGGGGTGATAAACCCACCAGGGTCATAGTGCTGCAGTGGGGTGATAAACCCACCAGTGTCATAGTGTTGCAGGGGTGATAAACCCACCAGGGTCATAGTGTTGCAGTGGGGTGATAAACCCACCAGTGTCATAGTGTTGCAGGGGTGATAAACCCACCAGGGTCATAGTGTTGCAGTGGGGTGATAAACCCTGCAGGATCAGAGTTGCAGGGGTTGATAAACTCACCAGGCTCATAGTGTTGCAGGGGGAGGGGTGATAAACCCACCAGGGTCAGTGTTGCAGGGGGGGGGGCAATAAACCCACAAGGATCAGTGTTGCATGGGGTGATAAACCCACTAGGGTCACAGTCATGCAGGATAGTGATAAACCCACCAGGGTCATAGTGTTGCAGTGGGGTGATAAACCCACCAGGGTCATAGTGTTGCAGGGGTGATAAACCCACCAGGGTCATAGTGTTTCAGGGGGGATAAACCCAGTAGGGTTAGTGTTGCAGTGCAGGGATAGGGTGATAAACCCTCAAGAGCACTACCATTAAGAGCTTTCATTATTATTATAATCAAGGGGGAAGCGCTAAACCCGGAAGATTATACAGCGCCTGGGGGGGGGGGATGTGGAAGGCATTCAGGCTTAAGAGCTTTCAGTAAAAGGCTCTAATGAATGTAATAAGATAGTCCGACCTGGCTACAGTAAATGGATGTACAATAATCCAAGGTACAGTAAACTGCCCTTAATATATACCAACTTGTTAAGTCAACACTTGATACAATTATTATTATAATAAAAAAAGAAGTGCTAAGCCACAAGGGCTATACAGCGCTGCAGGGTAGGGAAGGAAGCGAGGGTATTGGATGGCAGAAGGGAGGAGGGATGATCAGTAGGTTACAGAAAACAGCGGGGCAGGGGATAGTACGGGGGTAGAGGGTAGCAAGAGACTGAAGTAGAAAGGGCTGAAGGTATCAGAATTTGTGAAGTAAGTCAGTTGTTGTCAAAAAGTCAATGAGAGAGTCCGGATGAAAGGTGGGTCCATCAGCGAGAAGGGAAGGTAAAGAGAGAGCAGCGGAGCGAAGACGACGACAGAGGTAAATTCTGCGTGCTCGTTGATAAAGTGGGCAGTCCAACAGAATGTGGCTGACTGATAATGGAGCTTGGCAATTCTTACAGAGAGGAGCAAGACGCCTCTCCATGAGATATCCATGAGTAAGACGAGTATGGCCAATGCGAAGACAGGAGAAAGTAGTCTCCCAACTTCGACACTGGTGATAAGAAGACGGCCAGTAACCTATACTCGGTTTAATAGATTGAAGTTTGTTGCCGAGCATAGTAGACCAACGTTGTTGCCAACGGATGTGAAGTTGGGAAGATATTGCAGCAAAATAGTCCGTAAATGGAATACCTCTACATGAAACTGGTAGGTCATGTACTGCTGACCGCTCAGCAGTGTCTGCCTGTTCATTGCCCTGTACGTCAACATGACCAGGGACCCAACAAAAAACAATATCTTTATGCTTGGTAAAGATGCGGCGTAGCCAAAGTTGGATACGGAGGACTAAGGGGTGAGGTGTATCAAATTTCTGTATAGCCTGTAAAGCACTAAGGGAGTCTGAGACAACCACAAATGATGACACAGGCATAGATGCAATATGGATAAGTGCTGTAAGGAGGGCATAAAATTTTCAGCATAAAATACTACCCGAAGATGAAAAACCCTTTAACGCGCTGCCCGGGAAACACTGCTGCGAATCCTACCCATCAAAGACTTTTACCCCTCTGTTACACACAAGGGCATGAAAATGGAGTGAAAGTGGCAAGAAAATAAAAGGGGGAAGCACCGTAGACATTTGGGCTTTCGAGAAAGGGGAAGGAAAGAACAATCGAACATTTGGAATTTCCCCGGGGGGGTACGAAAAGTAGATGCACATGTACATAAAAGGTGGAATTAAGAGAAGACAAAGCGAATGAAGGCGAAGAGAGAAGGACTGAGTAAACAGGGGCGGCGAACAAATAAAGAATACTACTAATACATGACCATTCTATAAAGGAAGGATTGGGGAGATCATGAGACGTACTATAGCGAAGGCAAGGGCATACGGCGACGATAAGGATGGAACGTTATTTCCATAGAGGGCTCTCGACGGGGGAAGAGCAAAAAGCACCAAAGGCATAAACGTAACCTTGGTGATGAATGGGTTAAAGGGCTAAGAGAGTAGCAAGAGCCGGAATGATCTGGTCACCAAATCAATTTTTCGGTAAATAAGGGGGAAATGTGGGAAGGAGGGTTCGACGATCCTCCCCTGAAAGATACAAGGGTTTTTAAGAGGTTCACCCGGGTGTGGCAATTGCCTTCAGAGAGGAAATGTGGGGGTTTTCCAGGATAACCATATCAA